CTCTTTCTTCTCTGAAAGATTCATAGTGATGTTACTTAGCAATACAGTTGCAGTCTTGAACAGTATGTTAATATTCATATAACCCTCTTTAATAATGCTGATATCACTTGTAGGGGGTGGATGTGCAGACATACTTTAATTCTATAAAGCTGTCATTGATTTTGGTGACATGCCAGCTCCTAATGCAGTTCTTGGTTTTATTTACAGCAGCGAGATGACTCAGGAGACAAACCAGACCCCAGGGCCTATGCTGTGTAGTACAGGATGTGGATTTTATGGAAATCCTAGGACAAATGGGATGTGTTCTGTGTGCTACAAAGAGCATCTTCAGCGACAGCAGAACAGTGATAGAATCAGCCCAATGGGTAAGGGTGTGTGGGGTTGCTGGGGTTTTTTCACTTCTTTTAATATAAACCATATAGAAGATTACAATGAACCCTTGAAATATTTTAGGAAAAGAACGCTGTGTACTAAAACAATGACTATCAAAGAGAATGCTACTTTAATCACAGTAAAGATAAAAATGCGTTTCTTTGCAATGTCTTCTGGTTCACTTGACATTCAGCCATAACTTGCTTTCCCACTTAGCCTCTTCTGTTAGCATATTCTTATGCAATGTGTATTTTAATTGTTTATAGCATGTCTTTAAGTAAAGAGTAATATGCAGTACCAGTGAAGATTGTTTGTAGGCAGTTCATAGTTGCATAGGAAGCTGTTTGACTAACATGTTTTCTGCAGTTTTTTCATAACTTGTTGAATTCTTGTTGTATAGGAACAGCCAGTGGTTCAAACAATCCTACCTCAGACTCTGCATCTGTCCAGAGAGCTGACACTAGCTTAAACAACTGTGAAGGTGTTGCTGGCAGCACGTCTGAAAAAACAAGGTAAAGTGAAGGTATTACAGTGAGGTTTGAATGAGCTGTGAGTATGCAGCAAGTTGAAGGCCCACAGCACTCCTGCCCTGTTGCAGTGAGTTTCTGCAGAGGAAAAAGTGGTGACCAGTCGGGGCCCTGTGAATCTCTGTAAATGAAAGCTTATTCAGGTATTTGGTGTTGTACTGCTACAATTAAAAGTATGAGGTTTATTTATCTACAGAAATAATTTGCTATGGGCTTGCCTGTTTTCTTTTAAGGAAACTGAAATAGAGTGCGATATGTTTTGAAGATAGTAGAAGCACAGGTCAGGAAAATAGATCAGTAGTAACTCAACCAGTAGTTCATTAATGTGTCTGGGCAGTTGAGGCTTTTATTATGAATGCAGAACGGATGCAAATAATATGTTTCATTGTACTTACACAGAAACGTGCCTGTTGCCGCTTTGCCTGTAACACAGCAAATGACAGAAATGAGCATTTCAAGAAAGGAAAAATTAACACCGAAAACAGAGTCTGAGCCAGGTATGTTCATGGAGTAACACTGGGTACAGTGGTGACTCCACACAAGTGGAGGATTTGTTTGCTTTCTAAGCCATCTCATGTTGTGATCTTGAGGAACTGTTAAGATTGTTAAGAATTCCTTTGAGTACTCTCTCCTCAGAATCAAGAAAAAGGACTAGCCAGAACAGAGTTTTGAGATGCATGTTCAATGTTTGTAACAAAATTGACACCTGTGAGGGTGGTTTTGGATTCCAAACCTTTGTTTTTAAAAATGAGGCATCTAAATTGTATTTGGGCAAGGTGTTCAGTTTTGAAGTCAAACTGTTGCAATTCTGTGTATTATCAAGCAGTACAATTCCAGCTGAGTCAAAATGGCTTGTTGCATTTGGAGAATGATGCTTAATAAATTCTATTGTACAGATGAGTGAGGCTGTGGGGAAGGGAATATGTGGTTTAAAAACATTAACTAAAGCTGCTGAGAATTTTTGAACTAATTGAGTAGTCAGTAGGTATAACCAAAGGTTGTTCAGGATTGTAGGACAGTTGTGGCTTAAATGGACAATTCATACACCACAATTAAACAGCTTTATTCTCGTGCTGGATAATTGTAGCTGTAGTAGTTAAACTTCAGAGTGTGAACTGTTTGTTGGAGGGAGACAGAGTGAGGGCTTGCTTATCTACAACTAATGAGTGATTGAATTCATATCAGTTGTTTAAAAGGATATCGTAACACACTTGTTTTGTACTTAAACATATCCACACTTTAATTTAAAAGTCCTGAAACAGTTTTAAAAAATAAAAGCTGATGTTTAGTAGGAAGCATGTTCACTTAAAGTAAAGATAAAATCCATTCTTTCAGTTTTGAAGTCAGTGAGATGAAAATTGCAACAGATGCTACTTGGCACTGTATCAAAGTGATTTTTCTGTAGTTATATCTTTGCCAACAAAGACTGCTCTGATACTTGATATTTAATTGCTCAGCATTTGTACAGAGGGTTTCACTATTAGCATAAGTCATGCTAAGTCAAGGCTGTGTGACATGAACTAAGGTACAGTTAAACAACCTGTTGGGTTTTTCATTATGAATGGACTGAGAGGGGGTTTTTTACAAGTATTAACTTCCTGTAACTGATGTCAGCTGAAGAGACTTTCATTATATAACTGAAAAATAATGTAGCCTTTAATGCTGTATTCATTAAGCCATCTTGCCTTTTTATAAAATCCTACCTGAATGTGGCAAGAAGGAAATAGAAATGCATAAAATGATGGTAGTTGTGAAGCAATAGGTGACTTTACGCTGTAATTGAAATCTTTAGTTATTGTTGACTTACTACCTGTTTTTCAGGTAACGTGGATCAACTGTGTGATAGGTAGTGTCTCAGAGCACACTGTTGGCTAGACTGGGGGAAAAATCCAAAGCAGCTCAAGATACTGATATATTGTAGTAAAGGATTTCACAGGTTGAAACCAATAAAAACTGTCACAAGCTTGTGTAGAGATCACTGGAAAAACTACCAGGGAACTTCGGTGTCCCTTGAAAAAAAACTTGAAGAACAAAGCTACCTCCCTGAGAACATACCTGTAAATTCATGAGGCAGCCTCATGTAACGCCCAAATTCCCTTTTAAGTATTGTGCTTTGGCACAGATCCTGGACAGCATAAGACACTGTCCTTATACACTATTTGTAGGGTTTGGTGGACATCTTACATAAACAGCATGGGCTGCATTCAGTGTTACATTGACCTCTGTCTTGCAGGCAAGAGAAGTTGGACTAGACTTATTTTAAAAAAAAAAATCCCTCCTGTGTCTGGACTAGGTGGATTTTTTTATCTTCTTTCTTCCAGCAGCATCCATTATGTGCCACTCTCTCCTCTTAAGGACAAACTGAAACGATGGTAAATAATTCCTATCACCTCATAACAACGAGGCTAATACTTTCTAAGAGATATAATTCTCTAAGATAATGCTGCAGTCATGGAATTCTTAATGAGAACACTGTCTGGTTGTAAGCACAGTCTGACCCTAGCAACAGTTTCATAACCAGATAATAACAGGTCATGAACTGTATCTTCAACAATATGAAGTAACAGCCTGTTCTGCCAGAATTTCATTAGCAAATTAAATTTTGTATGTTTCCTTTAAAATCCAGAAAGTTAAAAATATGATTATATCTGGTCAACTAACTTTTTTTAGCAGTCTGTAGCATGAAATGATACTTGTTTGCTTTTGGAATTGAAACAACTGACTAGAGAAGGTGGAGAATTTGAGGAAAAAATAAAACAATGAAGATTAACAAGTTTGGGTTCTTGATTTTACTATTTTGGGGGGGGGGTCTTTTGTGGGGTTTTTTAATCATTTGTGCAGGTTAAGGTTACTACCTGGATTTACATTCAGAACAAATCTGGTGCTAAGACAAGTAGTTATATCTTTACCTTTGAAGAAAGGCATGGTGGATGTAATTCACCTAGTTGGTTGTAATGCATGTATCTAAGGTGCAGTGTTTTCTTGTAATTTCTTAGTTCAACTTACTTGTTTATTGCAATTTCATAACTGAACAGTGGCACATGTTCATTACCGATGTGTCTGAATTGCTCCTAAGTCAAAGAAACTAAAGGCCTTTATGTCCGAACTCAATTCATTAATGGGTGCTATTTAAAAAAAATTTACAGGAGTTTGATAAGCTTTTACACTTCTTAAAGATTGAATTCTAATACAGTCTTGACCAAAGTTAGACTATACCCAAAGTATTTTAGAAATGTTATTCAAACTTGCTTTTTTTTCCCTGCTGTGTTGCAGGAATTAAATGCAAAATGTAGTGAACTCTTTTCCTTTCCATGTGTTACACTGTCAGATCAATATATCTACAAAGTTGTTGAGGCATAATGGAGCTCTTCCTTAAAGAACCTTATTTTAGCAGGTATTCAAATGGAAATAAAAGGTCTGTAAAAGGAAGAGAGTTAATCGTGACTACTAAAAATAGTTTTAAAAAACAAGTATGTGTAAACCATTGTGTTGTTTCAACACATAGCATATTCTTAGCATTTTCTTGCACTTTTGTAGGTCATTTCTTTGGTGAATTATGAGCGTCTAGTCAGGTCTGTCAGTGTTTTCAGACACAGCATCAGCACATGTATCAGTGGCTCAAGGGACTGGTGCTTTTTGCAGTTGGGGTTTTTTGTTGTTGTTTGGTTTGGGTTGGTTTTTTTAATGCAGTAATATCTCTGCATTGGGGAGTAGTGTGATAAGCTGTCATTTTGCGAAACCTCGACTGCAAAGTAGCACTGCTTATAGAGAAAGTAAACCAGAGATAGAACTGATAAATGTTATTGTGTAAATTACATGTTTTAAAAATGCCTAAATAGTGTTAACTTCCATCCATGCTGTAGCTTACACTTTCAGTTCCTGAATCCAGCAACAGCAGTGTTAGAAGACAGCAGGCGATGGTGGTTGGCACATGTCTCTTGGCTTTCTAGCAAGCCAAGATGATTAGGGCTTTTTTACAGTTGTCCTGCATTCAGATTGAGAGACCCTGTAATGGGTTACCCTCACTTATGTTGTAGGTAGAACCAGTGTGTTATATCTGTAATGTGTACTCAGCAATATTGTGAGTAACATGCCGAGTAGACATCTTACAGTAGACAGGTGCCAAAATATGATAGGGTCAAGATGGCAAGTACATGCTATTCCTTAGCTCTTCTTATTAGTTGTGTTTTGTTTTCATACATGGCTATAGTAGTTTAGCTGTGTTTATCTTCAGACAGTTCCTTTGTGACTGTTGATAAAATTGTCTGATGTGATACCTCTGTCTTATATTGAAAATGATTAGCTTGTCTTCATGTTTATCATGTCTGCTGTAGCTTTGGTAGTTCCCCTGATGGAAAAAATTCTGAAATGGAATCACATGTAAGCCCCAAAGCTGTCCACTTTGTAAAATAAAGCTAAGGACCCAATTGCTGATCTGTGCTTGTTCATGATAGGATGCTAGTATTATTTTAATAGCAATATACCACAGACATCAAGTAATCTTGATGACCAAATTAAACCTAATTTGTGTGTGATGCTGAAACTGAAGAATCTTTACACTGTATTAAAGATATTGAATACACCTGGTAGAGCTGGGCATGTGGGAAGTGAGTTGCATTGTGCAGAACATTCCTGTTCCCTTTCTGTGGCATGACAGTAAGTGATGGAAGTTTATTATGCCGCCTTTCATCATGGGCACCTGGGTTGGCATAGCAGTTGTAGTTCCTGAAGAATAAAGTATTTATACTCAGGAAGCATATAAAGTATAATAAGTACTGTCCATCTTTTCAGACTGGCATCATATGTACAAGTATGCTATTGTGGATTAAACCCAGTGGGCAGCTGAGTACCATGCAGCCACTCATTCAGTCCTCCTCCCCAGTGGGAGGGAAAAAGTTGTGGGGAAAAAATAAACCTTATGCGTTAAGATAAGAACAGTCTAATAATTAAAAGAATGTATAATAAAATAGTAATTATAGTAACAACAATAATAATGCAATCATCATAATTTAAAGGAAGAGAGGAATAAAACCCAGAAACTCCACAAGGGATGCATACTACAGTTCTCACCACCTGCTGACTGATGCCCAGCCCATCCCCCAGCAGCGATTGGCAGCTCCCAGTCAACTCTCCCTAGTTTATATACTGAGCGTGATGTTCTATGGCATGGAATATCCCTTTGGTCTGTTCAGGTCTGCTGTCCCAGCGATGCACCCTCCTGTTTTTTTGTGCACCTGCTTGCTGGCAGAGCATGGGAAACTTGATATAAAGTCCTTGGTATAAAGTAAGCCCTATTTATCAATAGTGTGTTATCAGAATTATTCTCCTAATTAATCCAAAATACAGCACTACCAGCTACTGAGAAGCAAATTAGCTCTCCCAGTTTATACTAGGACAATTGTGTTTAATATGCAGTGTAAGGATTGCACTGTCTCTACAAAAGCTTTCAGCTCTGGAACTCCAGAAATGTATCTTAATGTCTTTCTGATTACTTCTGACTTTACCTTTACTCTCTCTTGTTTTAAATTTTCCAGTTCTTCAGTGGTGGGAGTTGGCAGTTAGTTTCTTCAAGTCACAGTGCTTAAATCATTTTACTTTTCTGTGCTTTCAAGAGTTTGCTCCACTACTATGCTTGTAGTTTAAGCTGTTGTGCTTCTATTTTGGTGAATTTTTATTTAGACAGAGAAGCTTCTGAAAAACTTCTGAAAGCCGAGAAACTTAGGAGTGTTACTTTGGTAGCCCTTTCTGGTCACTTTTGATATGGGGAGGGTTAGAAAATAATAATGGTTTATTTTCATCATGTTTTGTTCCACTGAAACATTAGATTCAGTCTTTTCCAGTGTGAAATCTCAGTGGGGATAATACCTATAATATGCATACGTTTTTGGAGCAGCCATACTGTTTTGTATAAGGAAGCTACTGACAGCTTTGAGCATACTTGGAGTGGTTTTTAAATTTTGAGTGGCAGTCCCACATAGTCACTGTACCTTAATAATTTAGGATTTGAGAAGAGCATTGTTCTGCAGTTGTTGGACCTTTCTGCATGTAGGTTGAGTAGTTGCTATTCTTCAGCATGTGGATAAGTTCTTTCATCAGTGCCCTTGCTGCTCCTTTTGTAAAAATGCATCTTATCTTCACAGAATGATAGAATCAACCAGGTTGGAAAAGACCTGAAATGTCATCAAGTCCAACCCTATTGTGGTTACTAGACCATGGCACTACGTAGTTCAGACTACATAGGCAGGAAATTTTCCCAAATTCATGATGCACTGTCTGTATTTGTGTGGAGTTTTTTCAGGCACCTCTCTAATACTAGGATTATGTCAGTCTTTTGACCAATCTGCTAGGATAATAGTCTTCCTTAGATGTGATAGTAATGCTTCTCTTAGTGGCTACAGATAATAGTTTAAGACCAAAATACTAGTTAATAGAATCCTGTCTGGTTCTGGAAATTGGTTCTTCTGAGTTTTTTTGCCTTGTAATAGGAGAACTGATCTGGTAAAATTCAAGTGAGATAAACCTTATCAGGGCAAGGTATATCTCCTTGGTCCAAAGGCTGGGAAGGAAGATGACCAAGGTGATGGAGAGGGGTACACAGAATCAAAGAATGGTTTGGATTGGAAGGGACTCTAAAGATCATCTAGTTTCAACCCCTCTGATATGGGCAGTGACACCTTGTTCTAGATCAGGTGGCTCATTACTCCATCCAGCCTGGCTGTGAACACCTCCAGGGATGGGGCATCCACAGCTTCTCTGGCTAACTTGTTCTTGTGCCTTACTACTGTCAGAGTAAATAATTTCTGCCTAATGTTAGGCAGTGACATAAACTGTTCCTCTTCTCTTTTTCATTTTCTCTTAGCGTATGTTGTGAGTGACTTTATTTATGTCACCCTTGATTTGCCCTCCTCCATTTTCTTTTGCAGGTGATTGAAAGTTTCTTTTGCATGTGATTGCTTCCAGGGCTCAAACTTTTAAAGTGGTTCTGATGTAGAAGAAGCTTGCCCCTAGCTAATTATACACCAAATTGCCAAGTGTGTGAGCACTTCTGGTTCCTCTTTTCCCTGTCTATTTTGGGGAGGTATTTGGTCATTTTGGTTTTTTAAGGCCATATGTCTGTTAGCCATGGTATGTAGTGTCCTACAGGTAAACTCTGTGATATTGCTGTGTGCTGTTTTTAGCCAGGATGGAGTTAATTTCTTCTCAGTAGCTGGTGCAGTGCTATGTTTGGATTCAGAGTGATAATACTGTTGATAGTACACTGATGTTCTGGTTTCTGCTAGGTTGTGTTTATCCTAAATCAAGGACATTTTCTTTCTTGTGTCTCATGCTCTGCCACTGAGAAGGTACACAAGAAAACTGGGAGGGAACATAGCCAGGACAGGTGACCTGAACCAGCCAAAGGGATATTCCACCCCATGGCACGTCATGCCCAGGATATAAGGAGGAAGGGCCGATCTGGGTGGAGGGACTGGGGTTGCACTGGTGCATGGGTGCTGAGCAATTGTATTGGGCATCACTGATTTTGTGCATCAATTGATTATCCATTAC